CCTCTCTTTCTTTCCTTCTTTCTCAGGGTCCTCCAATCAATCTTAGTACAGAGAATACCATGGACCCTGTCTGTGCTAAGCAAATACCCGAGCACTGAGCTAGGTCCCAAGCCATTGAGATCTTTCATACAAGACCCTACTCTGTAGCCCATGCTAGCCTCAAATTTATGATGTTCCCATCTGCTAGGATGCCTGTCTCAGAAGTGTTAGAATTATAGATTCATATCACCACACCCAGCCCTCAAATATCTTTGATTAGAGAATCATTTTTTTTGTGGCGGGTGGGTATCTCTCCATTTCTTGGAAAACCTGTAAGACACACTTTATTGTGGAATCCTGGATTGACTGAAGGAAGACACACCTCAGAGCCAAGCATGTCTGTGTTCTGGATTTATATTTATTTATTTTTAATTTTATTTTATATGTGTGAGTGTTTTGTCCGCATGTACGTCTTCGTACCACAAGTGTGCCTGGTGCTTGCGGAGGTCAGAAGAAGGTGCTGGATCCTCCATGCTTGTCTATGAGGAGCTGCAAGCAGGTTTGAGCAGTGTGTGGTGAGAAGCTAGAGCTATTGTTGTTTTGTTTGGAGGTGGGAATCTATATAGCTCTGCCTGTCCTGGAACTCACTATGTAGATCAGGCTGGCTTTGGGCTCACAGAGATCCATCTGCTTCTGCCTCCCGAGTGCTGGGATTCAAGGAGTGTGCCACCACACTGGGATTAGACTAGTGTCCTAATTTCCTAGAGTCTCAGTCTCTTCATCCTTCCTATTCGGACAAAGCCTGTGTCATTGGGCCTTCAGGAGGAACAAAGAGATACAGAACGGGAAACAATAGTGCAGTGTCAGTTGAGAAACCAAAGCGCCCCATCCTCTCTGTTGGTTCTGGCCGCTGCCTGTGAGGGAAATTCTCCTTTTCTTCTGGAACTGGCTGCTGTGGACAATGCTGCATGCTTGTCTCCTAGGGAAAGTGAGTTCTTGGTTCCTTCTAACTCAGTTGTGGATTTGCCCATGCTGGCTCTTTCTGTCACCTCTCAGCCACCCCTCCCTGTTGCTTGACACCACCCACAGCCCCAGCTGCCTTCCTTCCTCCTCCTGGGCTTGAAATAGACCCACACTAGAATTAGCAACTCCTTGCAGGGGTGCCTTGTGTAGTCCCTGACATCTTCTGGGTGGGTCTCTTGGTTGCTTTGAAGGCAGGTAGGTTGGCTAGAGGTGTAGGGTATAGGGTGTAGGGTGTATAGGGTGTAGGGTGTAGGGTGTAGGGTAGGAGGATGGGGTGGGTCAGTGTATCCACATCCTGCAAGAAGGGTGGAAAGTGAACTACAGAATGGATAAGAAACATGTCCAGCACTCAGCGATGGACACACCTGGTCCTTGCCTTGGCTTCTCTGGCAGTATTTTCACAGCTAAACCCTAATGTCTCGAGCATCCAGGTGCAGCCTAGGTGGTTATCACAGGACCTAATGGGGACACAGGTGATGTCTGACGATGGTGGACAGTGGAGATCCCTGGAGCAAGTGGTTAGAATCCTCAAAGCTTGTGTATGAGGATACAGTAATGAAGACCAGGGGCACGGGCAGCCACTCCAACTAGCCACTCCAGGGAAGTAAGAATGCAGAGACTCTTAGATGCTACAGCCCAAGCACCAGCAAGACACACCAGTCCAGACTAGGAGGACAGACTAGGCCCAAGTCCCACAAGCCTCAATACCTGCTGGCTTGGCAAGAGAGAAGAGAAAGAGACTGAGGAAGAAATGTCTGCCTGTGGCTCAGCCATGCTAGGTGGGGTTAAAGGGCTGAACTCCAGCCCGAGTCTCCACCTTTGGGGAGTTTTAGAGGAGGCTTGGAGCTTGTTCTAGGAACCCAGATGCTGGCTTCTGGTTAGTTCCTGATCCAAGGTAATGTTCTAAAACCAGAGCTAGAACCATGCTTAAGGGTGGGCCACACTGGGTGGCATATTGCTTCTCATGGGCCAGAAGCCAAGGTCATGTGGAGTTGGCTTCTTGGGTTATGGTTCTGCTTTTAAGTACCTGTCCCATATGGGAGGGAGAGTGTTCTGGAGAGGCCATGCATGTCGGAGATCTGTGGGACTCAGGACAGGAAAAGCCTCAAGTAAGGGTAGAGAAGAAGACACCCAGCAACCCAGCCCAAGAGCTCGCCGTGGAGACGTACCATTGACTAGGCTGGCATTTGCGCTACCTGCAGCGTTTGCAGGTGCTGCGCCGTCGGCCGCTGTGGGGGTGGGAGGGATGGAAAATGCAATGTCACAATGGAGAAGGCGACCACAGAGACATGAACCTACTGGGGATAATCACATGTCTTACTCTTAAAAAAAAAAAAAGCTCTGCTGGAAAGTGAGGAACTCAAATTGGGGATGGGGATGAAATGTTCCCGTGGATGTCATAGGGGAGGGTGAGGACTGAGACTCAGGACAGCATGGAGTGTGGTCAGATGCTCAGGTGGGGTGGCTCTTTATTAGTTATTTATTTTTGAGATGGGGTTTTACTATGTAGCCATGGCTGGCCTGGAGTTGACTCTGTAGACCAGGCTGGGCTTGAACTCATAGAGATGTACCTGTCTGCCTGCCAAGTGCTGGGATTAAAGGCACACACCACACAACCAGCTGGGATGGAACTTCTATGGTGACATCTGGATTGTGTTGGCTTGGCTGGTCAGGTAGGAATCCCATGGAATAAGGAAGTCCAGGGACTCGTCAATTCAAAATGCTCAGTGAGTGGTATATGGCCTGGACAGTTAGTTATAAGGGGCCTTCCCTGTGACCACCATTATTGTGTCCCTGAAGAACTGCTGTCAGTGGTGGCCACTGCCCACTACTTCCTTCTCTTTCCCTGACCAGCTCATTGAAGATCACTGTAGTAACCCCCGTGTGAGATGTCTCACCCAAGAGGGACTTCTGAATGTCTCCTTTTATATCAGGGAGATTGTAACTCAGAAATTAACAAAGGTATGGCACTACCAATTTCACCTTTATGGAGTTCTTTCTTGGGGCAGGGATATGGTTATGTGTGAAGCAAGAGAAAGGGACACTAGCGAGTGAGGTAGACACACTGTGTGCTTGGAGACAGGATCTGAGACTGCTTAGTAGGGATGTTGGTTGTCGGGTAGGGATGCTATGATGACAAGAAAGGTACTGCATGTTAGTGTGTGGGGCTTCGGTAGAGGTGCCATTTGGCCTGGGACATAAGGACAAGGGGGAAGAGTGAGTCTTTTCTTGTCCTGATGGGCTGGAATATATGAGATCAAAGAGAAATGTCTGAAGGGGATAATCTCTAGTAGGCAGGGGTCTACTCCAACTATGTGCTGCTGATCTAGGGGCAAGGCCTAGGGGCCCACAGCTGCAGCTATCCCTAAGAGCCCATCTTCCCTGAGGGTTGTCTTACTGTACCTGGTAGCTGAAGGCCATCCCCCTTCTTCACACCTGTGTGATGATTTTTGAGACATGTTAATGAAGGAGAAGCACACACAACCTCGTGTGCACACCACACCAGACCACCACCACACACACATGCTCACACACACACACACACACACACACACACACACACACACACACACACTATGCATGCACACATGCACATACCCACACATGCACACATATACCCATACACACACACCATGCATGTACACACGCACACACACATACATGTGCACACACACATACATACACACACAACACACACACATACGCATGCACGCATGCGCGCGCACACACCCCTGCACATGAAACCATCCTGGACTCTGAGCTGTATCTCAGGCTGACGTGATGGAATGGGAGGTCCACGGGGTCCAATTCTGGCTCTTCTGCCACAAGCCATTCATATATCACCTTGACTCCTTACACAAAACTGAATCTTGTACCTCTGTATTTTGGTTCAGTTTCAGCAAGGAACTCTGAATGAGACCCAAGGGGTCACTGATGCCTGCCTTCCTCACGACATTGTCAGATATAGGATTCATCTGCAAGAGCTTCTGAGTGTCTCTCCCTAGCCAGGCCCCACAGATATTGGAACATGGGTTCAAAGTACTGCATTCCACCAATTTCTTAGCTTTGTCCTATTGCCTGACTTAGTGTATTCACTCTGGCTATAGGTCCTTATTTGCTCATATCCTTGTCCCTAACCTGCTGGGACTCTCAGCCAAGACTTTGCCTCATTTTGAACTTAGCCCTACTTTGCTCTTTCCAGCATCTAGAGTTCCCAGCTAACAATGCAGCTTCTCTGTTAATGCTTAGTACTGAAGGGACAGCTGTGACCCTAGGGGGACACACTGGAAAGGAGTTCTTCCCTCAGGTACCAGCAGCCTTTAGCCCTGATGCAGGTTTTGTATTCCAGTGGCCTCTGAGCATGGGTAGCATACCTGCTTGAACTTGAGGAGGGCCACCTGTTCTGTTATCAACCTTTCCCAAGCTCTCAAAAGGTCAAGATTGTTGGGGAAGCTTCCCTAGAGCTTAGGAGAGGAGTCAAAGGGCTGATAGTCTTAGGTGGCACTGTGCCTGAGACCGAGTATGGATTCTAGGTAAGGAGTTGGCTGTTCTGGCCTTTGGGCTCAGGACTTTTTGTGTGAGCATCCCTCCTCTATTTCAAAAGGTATTTGTATCACAGACTGCTACTCACTGCACTGAGGGATACCAGGTAATAAGGACTTTTACTTTGAAAGGGTAAGTGGAACCAGGACTAGGGCATGGTGAGCTCCTGGGGAATCAGAACAGTAAGCATGAGACCAATTTCAACCAGTTTCCCAAGAATCACCTCTGCCCATGCCGGTCACTGTTCTGTGCTTGATAGATTGAAAACTCTTCAGGTAGAATTAACAATGTCAGAAGGAATATTTATGTGGGAGGACTTCTATTTATTGGTGAGGTGATGGGGAACCAACTCCTTCTGACTGCCTCTACTGCTGGAGCCTGGAGATCGAAGGACATGCCCAGCATCCTGAGCCCGACCTTAAGGGAAAGGAGGGGCCTCTGTGACATGACTGGACAAGACAAAGACTAGGGAAGATGGAACATATAGAACCCCCCCAACTCCAGCAGACTTTGAGGACAAAGGTGGCAGCTATTGGCACAGGGCATGGGGTAGAAAGTGCTCTATAATGTGGAGTGAACAGATAAATGGAAAATGTGGCCTTAAAAGCTCTTTTCTTGTTTTTCAAATGTGTGTGTATAGGAGGCTTACCTTTTTTGTCTTTCTTCTCTTCCTCTTCACCACCAGCCCCAAGCAGGGTAAATATGATTCCAGTCTGAGAGTTCACACCCACAGCAGTCACCACCATCCGTCCTGAGCCTTCCATCACATGGGTTCCTGAGGAAGGTGTAACCGGGTTACTATTACATGGCCAAAGACTCCTCCACAAGTAAACAAAAGGAACAGGTATCCATCAGCTTGTAGCACCTTGCTCACTGAGATGAGTGGCACTTTCAGGTAGAGATGGGCTTGAGATAGTATTACAAGATTGCTGTTGTCTCTCAGTTCTCTGTTCTACAGAAGATATAGGCCCAGAACCTCTTATTCTGGCCTTGACAGCCACGTCCTGCTTTTCTCTAACCCCCACTTATTCTTCCACTGTTCTTATAGGCCAAGCAGGTAACAGTTTTTTCTTATGGATAGTATTTGGAATCAGATCTTATTCTGCAATCAAGAAGAAATGGGAACTAAGGCCTAGAGCGTACCTCTGAGGACTAGCTCACCTTCCTTCCTAATGGGTTATTCAGGAGTCTGTGAACCGAATGAGAAAACCTCAAATCAAATACTCTTTCATGAACCTCCAAGTGAAATTCAGTGTTTTCTCCCCATTATGAATGTACGTAACAAATGGAACCTATCACCACTAACAGCATACATAATTGTAGATACATTATAAACTCCAGTTTTTTTCTTTTCTTTTCTTTTTTTTTTCTTTCGAGACAGGGTTCCTCTGTGTAGCCCTGGCTGTCCTGGAACTCACTCGGTAGACCAGGCTGGCCTCTAACTCAGAAATCCGCCTGCCTCTGCCTCCTAAGTGCTGGGATTAAAGGTGTGCGCCACCACCGCCAGATTTTTTTTCTTATGGTGGATACTATTATCCCTCTGACAGTGGACCAGTACTTTGTCTTCTTGTTTTGTGGGCTAATATAGAAACCCAGACATGACTCTGCTACACATTGAAAACTACTTTATTTCAACATAACTGGCTTCTGTAAGTCATCCTGTGCAAACCTTCTAAATTTCATGCTGAGGAGGTGGGTATAACTGTAACATCAGATTCCCTGTGGAGAAAAGTCCAGGTGCTTTTCATAGAAAGTTACCACTACTGTTATTGTTGTCATGGTTATTATTTGAGGTACTAGGGATTAAATCCAGGCCTTGTACAATCGAGGCTAATGCTCTACTGCAGAGTGCCTTCTTCAGTCATTTTTGAGACAGGCTTTCATGTATCACAGCCTGGCCTTGAACTTGCTGTGCTGCTGTGGATGATCTTATACTACTGACCCCCATGCCTTAGCCTTTTTAATGCTGGGTTACAGGCATACTCCACCAGGCCTGATCTATGTGGTGCTAGGGACGGAACCAGTGTCTGTAAGGCAAGCATGCTACCAGCTGAGCCATATCTGAGCCTTTTGGCATATTTGAATTTTGAGACGCCACCTCACTAAGTTGCCTAAGCTTGGTCTTGAACTCACTCTGGCCCAGGCAGGTTTTGAACTGTGAATCCCCTGCCTTAGCCACCTGAGTAGTTGTGACTTGCAGGCCTGTGTCACCACATTCAGACTATTTTTTTAGAATCTTAAATTTCTCAAAATGGGTTCCAGAAAGCCCTAGAATGCTTAGGTGTCTGGAAGGGCAGCTACTGAGTGAAGCGGCTCTACGTTTACTCATCTTATTTATTTATTTATTTATTTATTTATTTATTTATTTATTTATTTATTTATGTTTTATGTGTACACATGTTTTGCCTGAATGTATCTCTGTACCACGTGTGTACAGTACTAAAAGGGGCCAGAAAAGAACATTGGGTCTCATGGAACTGGAGTTACAGAAGGTTGTGGACTACCTCTGGGTACTGGGAACTGAACCTGGATCCTTTGCAAGAGCAGCAAGTGGTCTTAACTGCTGAGCAATCTCTCCAAGCCATCTCTTTGGGGCTTTTGAATTACCAAGTCTTGCTTTTTGGAAGGCAGGCCTCTACTGTGCAGGCTCAGAGAGCGGCTGTCTTAGACACCACAGAGAACTTGTGGAAGATCAATGACATGTTTGTTATTCCTGTGTTTGGATGGTAGAAGAAATGAGAGAATCAGGAGCTTAAGAACATCCTCAGTTAAAGGACAACCTTAGATATATATTAAGTTTGAGGGCAGCCTGGGTTTCATGAGACCCTGTCTTAAGAAATAATAAGACAAAGCAAAGGTGGGAAAAGGTGTTCTCTCTACCTCTCTATGCACACTGGACTATCAACCTTCAGGAGATGGTAGTGCTGACACATGCTGAGACATGATGAACCCTGGGGACACTAAACAAAGTGGAATCTGAAAGCCACAAGGTCCACAAGCTTCTGAATCCAGAGATAGAAAGCAAAGAGGGGCTGCCAGGGGTTGCCAGGGGCTGCCAGGGGTTGCCAGGGGCTGCCAGGGACTGCCAGAGGCTGCCAGGAAGTACACAAGAAGCTGGAGTTTCATGAAATCAGACTGAGCTTTGTCTGGGGAACATGGAGCATCTCTGGAGGTGGAGGGTATCTATGTTACAGGAAGGTGCTAAATATCACTGAATCTAACAGTGACTGTCTGGGAAGCAGACAGCAGCCATGTTTACCCAACAAGTCTCTCCACAGGGAAGTGCAGGGTGGCCTCTGCCTTCCACTCCTCAGCCAGCTCTGGCACATCCAGTAGCCATGTCTTCTCTATGAGACTATCCAGCAGGGCTAAGATCTACCACTCACAGTGTTCTGGGGGCCAACTCTGCTCACGTGCTGGGAGGAGGGATTGACTGGTTCCTGAGACACACAACGAAACTGAAGCCCCAGGAAAGCTTTGGAACACCTACAATGCACACAAAGGAAATATTTGGAACACCTACTGTGTCCTGGAACTGTGCCACACCTCCACCCTACAAGCAGTAATCTCAGCTCTTACACCAAGGGGAAACTGAGGCTGGAAGGCTGGAAGGGTGAGGTGGGTTGCCCCAGGCCCCACACTGGTGAAAAGCAATGGTAAGCTTTAAAACTCTCTGTCTTTACAACCTAGGATCTTGGACACAGGCCGTTTCTTCCAAGGGGAAAGGCCCCAAAAGCTAGCCCTAAAATCTAGCTGAGGGGAGGCTGGCCCGGAGATGGCTGTGCTGGTCCTTGGGTCCAGAGGCCACAGGAAAGGCTGTTTTCCTCTGCCTAGCAGAGGAGGAATGGAAAAAGATGTGGGGGTCAATTTCCACCCACGATAAGCAGGCCTCAAATCACCTTCTAAATCTAATCACTCCCATCACCCCCTGGGGGCTGGCAGCTCCTGTAACCTGTGCAGGTAGATAGGGGACAGAGAAGGGGGCAGGACAAAGAGCTCACCAGATCTGGAAAACCCCCAGGGGTTTCTCCTGATGCTGGGACCCTTGTGTTACAGTAACCCCCAACCATAAAATTATTTCCTTGCTACTTTATAACTGTCCTTTTGCTACTGTTATGAATAGGGGTGGCTGTGGAGGGCAGGCACTGGTAGTCCTGGGGACTTCTGGGGAGGTGGGTCCTGAGCAGATGGCAGCAGTTAAACAGACAAAGAGGTAGCAAGATGAGTACTGGGAGGAGGGTCTGTCTGTCCCCAGTGGCTGGAGAGCTCGAATCCCCTGGGTCTGTGGTGAGCTCCAGGGGGTGGTGAGTGGAACTGTGACTCTCAGGGTTGACAAGGCATCAGATGTTGTGCCCTCCCAGCAAACCACTCTGATCCGTCCAGGCTTTGCGCACGCACCGGAAACGGGAACGCGTTGCTTATTATCTCTGTACTTGTTCTGTTCCCTGCTGCTGACCACACCTGTGCACTCTCTGCCACCCTTCCTCCTGCCACCCCTCGGGGCTTCTGTGTGTGTCCCGCTTCTTCCTCATCCATCTAATTAGTTTATCGTGTGCATAGGGCTATCTTTGCGGGGTGTGTGTGTGTCTCCACTCCAACTCTTCCCTGTCAAGCTGAGAGCATGTTTTCCTGAGCATCCCACCAGACCACCAGCTACCTGAGGTCAGTACAACCTCTGGGAATCCCTGGATAGCCACTCTTCTGTTTCCTGCTCTCAAGGATGTTACTTGGACATCTGAAGGGGCAGAGCAAATCCACTGCTTTGATCCACATAGCCGTAGGAACCTGTGGTGGCTGTTGGAGCTCTCCCCTGCTTGTCTTGGTCCTCACATCCACCTGCTCCTGACCTGAGCACCAGCCCATGCTTCAATGACCTACTTGACTCCTGATGAGAAGTCAGTCACCAGCTCCATCCTAGCCCATCTGAGCTGTGTTCCCATCTCCGAGGACCTCAGGCCTCCGTTCTCCTGTGGCTTCTGGCCCTTCTGGTCCCTGAGATGTCTCTAGCTCTACCCTTCTCCTTAAGAGAAGGAAGAGACAAGAACCATAGAATCTTAGCTGTGCTCCCCAGACTCCTCCTCATGACTCCCCTCCTCCCTCTTCCTAGGAACAGCCTCCTGGCTTTGCCTTCCGCCTTCAGCTTGGTTTCATTTCCCTCTGGGCCTCCTGCCTTTATGAGGGACCCTGTGATTCACCCTAAATCAGCAGCAGTCAGCTTTCAGAGCATCTCCGTCATTCTGAAGTCTGTGTCCTGGTGTCCTCCCTGGTTGGCTTGTGGCACTGCTAGCTAGTGACTCTGAGTGCTGTCTGCACCAGGCTCCTCCTGGCATCCTTCCACCTACTCTTTGTCCATGCTGTCTGGAGACTTGGCACCTACTCAGGCCCTGGGCTCCCGTAGAAACCATTGCATGCTTCCCCCAAGGATGCCTGCCTGCCTATCAACTCCTGCAGCTCAAGGACTGGAACCAGGGCCAATGGGAGTGGGACCATCTTCTGATCTTTCACATGGCCCTGTGTTCCTAGAGGAGACTGCTTCCATGATCCCTCACTCAGACCCCAGCCTTTGCACTTGACATATCTCTGCCTGGAATACATTTCTCAATGTTCTGACTTAAGCCTGAAGGCAGTGGTTTTTAACCTGTGGGTTGCAACCCTTTTGGCAAGCCTCTATGTCCAAAATAATTTACATTATCATTCATAACAGTAGCAAGAATACAGTTATGAAGTAGCAACAAAAATAATTTTATGGTTGGGGGTCACTACAACATGAGGAGCTGTAATAAAGGGTCACAGCATCAGGAAGGTTGAGAACCACTGATTTATTGAAAGCTCCTGAGCCAGGTGTTCCGTGACTTGCTGAGACTCTTCCCCACTCCAGGGCCCCTCCCCCTCTCACTGCAGGCAGTCTTGTGTCTTAGATGGATTTACTGTCCCAGACTATTTGTTTGTGCATTCCTTCCTTGACTGCTGTCCTCACCAGGTTCAAAATTCCAGCACAGCATAGTCCTTGTCTGTCCCGTTAGCCACTGACATACAGTCGGTGCTTAATAGATACTTGGATCTCCTGACTAGTCTCATGTCAACTTGACACAGGCTAGAGTCATCTGAGAGGAGGGAACCCCCCAACTGAAAAAATGACTCCATAAGCTTGGAGTGGAGGCACGCCTGCAGGGCATGTCTTAATTAGTGACTGACGGGGAGGGCCCAGCTCATTGTGGGTGGTGCTACCCTTAGGTTGGTGATACTGGGCTCTATAGGAAAGCAGGTTGAACAAACCACGAGAAGCAAGCCAGTGAACAGCACCCCTCCATGGCCTCTGCATCAGTTTGTGCCTCCAGGATCCTTCCCTGTTCGAGTTCCTAACTGTTTTTTGCTGGTCAATCGTTATATGGAACTGGGTGAAATAAATCCTTTTGTCTCCAAGTTGCTTTTGGTCATGGTGTTACATCACAGCAACAGTAACCCCAAATAAGACAAGCAGTGAATACATTCTAGATAAATAAGTACTTTCCATTACCCGAAAGACTCATGGATCTTTCTTTTGTGTCGCCAGGTCATCCCACTCGCCTGGCAGGGAAATGGACCAGGCAAGCTCCTACTCACCCTCTACACTCCAGCTCACTACTACCTCCGCTGACCTCTCTGCGCCTCTCTTGGCTTTTGCATACCATTTCGTATCTCTCCTATGGGGTTAACCATTTGAAGAGGGCTTTTCCCCAAACTAGTTTGGACGGGAGATTCAACAGCATAGTCAGGCACTGGGGGCTCTTGGTATCTCCATAGGAAAGGGTTCCACAGAGGTGTTTTCCCCCTACAGGCTCTCCAGCCTATCTCTGGCCCTCCTGTTGCAGCCAGAAAAAAAACTTGTAAAAATGCCAATGCCACCAAGCAACTCCATCTGGGGAATTCCATTCTTCTCAGAATAATGTCAGGATTCTGACTCGAGTCCAGAATCCATAGATCTACCTCTCTCTATCTCTTGCTCCAGTGTGGTCCTACCTCTGAGCCTTTGCATTTGCTTTCCATCCTTCCCTGTGAGCACTTCCCCAGGAGTGGCAAGTCTGGCTCCCTCCCATTGCCTCCCCTGTCACAGGGCCTGATGCACAGTGGGTGTCCAGAAAGATTGTCACTTTGCAGGAAACCAAACCACTATAAGCCGTGTTGCTGGAGTAGGACACCCTGTAATGTTTATGGTAACAGTGTCAGGCCTGGCCATGGCTCTGTGCATGGCAGGTATAACATGAGCTTGCTTGAGGAAGGGGTGGTGTGTTCACAGGGAGCTGCTCCTGCCAGCAACTCCAGAGCCAGGGACCACACCGGCCTCCCCATGGTGTGTGTGTGTGTGTGTGTGTGTGTGTGTGTGTGTGTGTGTGTGTGAGCGTGTGTGTGGCTGGCCGCAGGGGCACAGTGGACTGTAGCTTACCTGACAGCAACATGGGGTCCTTATCCACAGACTTGCGCACCTGGTCAGACTCTCCCGTGAGTGAGCTCTCATCGATCTTGAGGTCATTGCCCTGGATGAAGAGGCCGTCAGCAGGAAGGAGGTCACCTGGTTGGAGGAAGATGGGGGTTTTCAGTGGAGTCATGTGGACAGAGAAGCTGAGACATCGAAGGGGGGGAGGTACCTACAAGGCCTCAGCATACAGATCCAAGATGGTGCCTGCAGTCAGTGGGTGATAAAGTGACATCCTTGGGGCCTGATACAGAGCCATGCAACTCTGCCTGCTTCATGTAACTGTGTCTTTCCTATGGTATGTCCTTTGACCTGATGTGCCTCTGGGGCCAGCATTGCTCTGTGGTTCATTTTCTTATAGTCTTTTTTTGGCTTGGAGAAGATCTTTTACACCAAAGCAGGCTATTTTGGGTGGACTGAGGACACCCCAATCAAGTGAGCCACCAGGACTGTGAGGAAGCCCACTCCAATCTCCCCAGTCAGTGCCTACTGACCCAGGACATCTCTTATTCAAACTTCCTTTGGAGCTAGACTACTTGCTTTTTCAGTAGCAATATGACAGGCCTGGGATACTCACCTACCTATTTTGACTCTTGCTAACTTTTGCAAGCTTGGAAAGATCTATCTGAAGTCAATTCAGGGATGGGAAATGGATTTTGCCTCATAAACTCACCCTGAGTATTGGTGAAGCTGTGTTAGAAGGCTTCTGAGGCTGTTTTCTGACTAAGAGCAATGATTGATTAGTCATGTCTGCTGCAGGTGGAGGCTGGGGTACAATGGCGTGTGTGTTATGAATCTAACATTTCTGATTTAACTGGATGTGGGAAGCCTACGTCTCCTCTGGGACCCTCACGGCCTCAGAATACATCCTGCCACAACACAAGCTTTTAGGGATCCCACCCTATTCCCTGGATTAGGCTTTTTGTATCTGCCTGTCATGTCCCACCTCTACCTAGACTCTAGTTCTAGAACCATGAACAGGACACTTACCATATTTGATCTGGGCAATGTCCCCAACTACGATCTCAGCCACAGGGATCTGGACCACCTGGCCAGCCCGGACTACGGTGAACTTCTGTTCCTGCTCAATTCTGCTCTGCAGGCCCCGGAACTGTTTCTCCTTACTCCAGTCATTGAAGGCTGTGACGAGGACCACACAGATGACTGACAGCAGGATAGCAGCCCCCTCAATCCAGCCTGCTTCTGCTTCGCCTTCATCCTCTGCCCCACCCTGGGCCGTGGCACATCCTGTAGAGAGATAAGAAGCACTGGGTTTCCAGACCGGCAGACAAGAGCTGCCACATAGCTTAGCCCTGCTAAGTAATCCCTAGTGGTGCATTTGATCAGGTGCCTCTGTGCCATGCTCTGGGCAAAGGGCTTCTCCTGGTCACTTTATAGGGCTCTTCTGTATGTCTTCCACAGATGGGAATGTTAAGACTTCTCAGAGGGGTCTACTAATGTCCCAAGCTAGAAAGGGCAGGTGGAAACTGAGCATGCCATTCCAGGCAGCATGACTTCAACGACAGCATCTGAACCATACCCGCCCTGCCTCTGTCCCAGCTGTGAGATAAGCTTCAGTTTTCTCATGAGACAGGATTTCATGCAGCCTGGGCTGGCTTCAAACTGCCTATGTAGCTGAGATGGTCTTGGAATCCTGATCCTCCTGCCTCCACTCTGAGTGCTGAGATTATACCACGCCTGCCTTTATGCAATACCGTGGAAGTGGGAGAGGGGCATTGCTAACAACACCTCCTAGGGCTTGGGGACAGGGAAGTGGCAACTCCTGGGCATACCTAGCATGTAGCAGGCTCTCCCCAACTCAGGCCACAGCAAGGACAATGGGACTGAAGACACAGGCTGCTACCTGACCCACAGTGACCCTGTACTCCACACTTGGCACTACTGAGTGCTCAGTATGGGCCTACAACTCTCAAGGTTGGCTAGCCCATGGGGAGGCAAGAAAGAGAAAAAAATGCTAATATGCCCAACATGGAGGCTTTGACCAAAGGTCTGCAATGCTAAGGTGTGCAGAGCCTATGGCTCCCCAGCCTCTCCCTGCTCCCAGCATGGGTCCCAAGGGCAAGAGGCACCTGAAAATTTCTGAATGAAAACCTAAGGCTCCAGTGGCCAGGGGTCACACCCTAGGTGAGAGCTGGGTGATCTCATGGCTTGTATCCCAGGAGCAGTGTCTGACCATCACCTTTGGACAACTCAGAAGGGTGCCTTCCACAGGGCAGAGGTACTGGGGAAGCCTCAATCCTTGTCCCCCAGATGTCCAAAGAAAGGAAAGAGGCTTAGAGATGCACAGTGATTCAGCTGGAGTCACACTGGGTCTAGAGTTGGGTCCAGGCCTGGAATCTGAGCTTAAACTTGTCTTTCCCTGAGCCTCTGAGCCTATGGCAGGTGGACATCCAATCTAATTCCAAGGAATAGAGAACAGCAGTTTCAAGAGATCTTAACAGAAGCTTCTGGAAACCCAGGGGTCAGAAGCATCAAGACAGGAAGGACAGGAAGGGAATGCAGGGGAAGATAAAGGATCACCATGGTCAAGCAACACGCGCTGCTGGAAGTTTTCCTGTCTCCAGCTAAAGCAGTATTCCTCAAAGGCCAGTAAACGCCTGAAGGGCTTTCAAGGCTGTTTGTCCTCTTGAAAAATGTGAACCGTCTCAGTAATGGTAAACTATTTACCCAGACCACTGTTTGGTGGTAATGGCTCTTACAATGGTGCTGCAGAGCCAGCCCTGAATTCAAATCTCAACTGCAGACTGCGTGGCTATTTCACCACAGTGCCTCCATTTTCTCATTAGCAGAATGGGGTGATCACAGTTGGACCCCTCCTCAGGTGGTCATATGATGAAGAGGGCCTTCCTTGTGAAGTGCCTACCATGGGGTCCCAGGGGCTCAAGCCTTGAGTCAGTGGCACGGAGCAGGAAACACCTGGAATTCAGTCACCTGAGATAAGGGAACTGAGGGACTGTGGTCCTGTGTTACTCTGAGGGCACCTACAGAGATACAACCCCTGTCGCAAGGATAGGAATAACATGGAACCTTAGAGACAGACTCCTTGTGCTGACAACTCCCAGTGTCAGAGACTTCAGCCTGACCAACTACAGGTGGGAAACTGCATCAGAGATACTGCATCTGTACTGAGCATGCCCAGGCCTCTCTTGTCATTACCCCCTAAGTAACATGACCTAATAGATGTTCACACAGCTGTCATATTGGGTGTTATCAGAAACCCAGAGAGACTTTCAAGTATACAGAAGGTTATAAATAATACCCACAGAAGGTTCCGGCAGGACCCAGGGATGACTGTATACACTCTGACACATGAGGACAGGGGAGGGAGAACTTGAATCCAGAGCCCGATACTTCATTTTGTAGGCTGTAGCCCTGCTTCTTGACACATGCTCTGTAAAGGACATGCCTGTCTTCCCTGGTATGCTTCTTCAGAGTCTCCATGGGGGCTGTTATTGGAAGACGGGGACACTTAGAGTCAAGTCGGTGTATCCCTCTGAGATTCCGGACTCAGAAAGACCCAGATTCAAAGTCCAGGCCCTGCTACGCAATTCTAGGTAAGTGACTGACTCAGCCTCTCTGAGCTCCCCAAAACCACCTAGCACATGCTAGGTACTGGTGCTGAAACTCCCCTTTTCCTGAGTGCTCTAAAGAACCTCTGTGGACCCTGCAGTCCCAGGATCTGTGTCCCTTCTGCCGTCTCATCAGGATTTGAAACACCTGGACTTGAGCCTATGTTTCCCAGGGTCCTTTACTTGCATGATACCTGACTGTAATATGGGCCCAGGCCTGAGTTTTCTCATATTAGCTGTCCATACTAAGGGTGGCTTAAGGCCTGGTTTGGAGATATGCCCATGTATCTGAGCACAATTCTATAGAACCATCTTCTCTTCCCTTGCCCAGTGGAGTATAGACCACATATCAGCCAGCATAAGAACCTCCTGGCTGAGATGCTGGCTCTTGGGTAATGCAGCAGGTGGATTTCCCCTATGGGGCTACATGCAGGATGCTTAGAAAGCTGGTGGAAAGTCTTCATCCTCTCCTTAGGGACTAGGCTATGAGGAATCTGTCCTGCCTCCCTTCCTCCACTGCTTTCCTAGTGGGACTCAGTGTAGCCAGCTGCCTTCTAGCCAAAGTGTAGCCAGACCAGGAGCAGTGAGGTGTGGCAGGGGCAGAGCCAGGGCAACTTGGGCCACAATCCAGCCACCAAGCCATGATCTTTGGGTCCTGGGTTTGTATACCTCAGAGACTGCCATAGCAGCAGCCATCCATCTGAAGTCATGGAGGGGTCTCTCTTTGGCACATCCCAGACCATGTCATGTCCTACCTTGGCCTCTGCCAGCTGCTCTTCACCTCACTCTGCTCAGCAGGGCCCAGGAGGCCACTGATGGTGGGTGACTCAGCTCCAGCTCTCTCTGTAGAGCTGGATGTTTTGGCCAGAGCCACGGAGTTTCAACTTTTGGTGGGGGACATTAGCATATTCTCCATGGCTCAGGGGCTCAGAAATAGCAACTAGTTCCTCCCGGGTCTAGCCTGATATGTAGAGCTTTCACCCCTCATCAGTGATAACTTCCCTTTGCAACAGATGAGGCCATTACAGAAAACCAGAGCCAATCAAAATCCAGAGCTGTGGCGCCTAGTCCCAGTGGGCCATCCACAAAACATCCCCACACCTAAGGGCCAGGGAACATTTAGGAAGAAGGGGCAGGAAGACCAGGAGAGCCAGAGGATCAGGGATTGTGCTGTGAGATTGTGTCACATCAGAAACTACACTCATAAAATCGTATCAACATGACTGCCCAGCTGTGAACTGAACAAGGACGACACCAGTGAACACACCAAACTGCACAGGGGAAAGCCCACAAGACCCCTCAGCTCAAAGAATTATAGCCAATGGAGTCAAACTGGGAGCCAGAGAGGTGGGCCTCCCAGGAAGAGCACACCCATTGGTTGTCCAGCACCAAATGGTCAGCCCTGAAAACATGCATACAACTAACATTATATGAACCCAACGGGTTATATTTAGGAGTATATACATATATGCAAACACACATACACACGCAATAACAATAGATGAAAGGGAGATCACGAATTTGAAGGGGAGGTGGAAGGGGTATGTGAGAGGGTTTGGGGGAAGAAAAAGGAAAAAGAGAAATGTGATGCAATCAAATTACAGTCTCAAAAACAAACAAAAACAAAACAAACATAGTATCTGTCTCCTTATTGTGCGGATTAAGGGAGTAGGAAATGACCACAACAGCTCCCAATTGAGGTAGCTACAGACTCTGTTGCTAGCCTGACCGTCTGCATCTGCAATCTTCCACATTTGCCGAAACCACAAGGAAGGCTGACCACGGTTCACCTCTCTTACTTCCCTATGGGAACGTCCATCCCAGGATCCACGTCAGAAAAATCTTACCTCCCTGCTCATTGCTAACCTGACCTATGAAAAGCACCCATCTTCCCTTCCTACCCCGAAGGCTAGGAAGCGCAAATCAAACTTAAATCTGAGTCATGGTAGCGATTACAACTGGTTTTTATTCACCATCCCTCCTATCCTGTACAGAAAGAGCTCGTCTGGTGCGGGGCTTGAGTCATGGCAAGAGCATGGCCTGGAAAGGCTGTAGGGCAGCTCAAGCCCCTCACCAGACGTGCCACCTTGCTGCTGGACTTGGAAGTCCTTGTGGGACAGGAGACATTGTTCCTTCATAAATTATGTAGTCTATGATTTTTTTTTTGATATTTTTTAAGAATAAGAGAAAATGAACTTAGATAGTGAGTGACCCAGAGCAACTTGACCTTCTCTTCATACCTCAGTTTTCTCATCTTTTTTTTTTTTTTTTTTTTTTCGAGACAGAGTTTCTCTGTGTATCCCTGGCTGTCCTGGAACTCACTCTGTAGACCAGGCTGGCCTCGAACTCAGAAATCCGCCTGCCTCTGCCTCCTAAGTGCTGGGATTAAAGGCGTGCGCCACCACTGCCCGGCTAGTTTTCTCATCTTTAAAGTAGGCACAAGCCCTGAGCTGGGCATACTGGAAGTGCCTAATGAATGCTCACCATAGTTATTACTACAGTTGGTCTAGCCTCGTACTCACAGGTGGGCTGACTAGGGCATGTATTGGTCTACGTAGTCTGAGCCCTGGCAAGCTCGGCCCCTCTTGTCGTGTTGTGGGTGCTGCAGTCACATAGACCCTTGCACATGCTGTGTGTCGTCAGGAGCACCCGGGGCACCCTACCTTCATTGCTCTCTCCCGGTGGGTGGTAGAAGGACAGTCCCAGGGAGATGATGGCCGCGATCTCCAGGATGATGAGTGTCACGTCCTGTAGCGCTTCCCACACCAGCTGCAGGAAGGTTTTTGGTTTCTTTGGAGGTATGAAGTTTTGCCCAAAAATCTGTTTCCTCTTTTCCAGGTCTGGAGCGGTGCCCGGCAAACCTGTGGACAGAGGGCAGACAAGTTGGGCTGGGGCCAGGAGAGATGCATGCCTGTCGCTGGGAGCTGAGGAGGGAGCAGGCAAACACAGCAGGAATTTTCCAGGCATTTGTCCTAGGAGACAAGCGTTCCACGTAACGCATGTCCTGAAGGGGGCCCTGCTAAAGGAATGAAGAAACCTAAAAACATGGATGCTTCCAGACTCAAGGGGACATTCCATTCCTGTAAACGTGATGCCAAAGAACGTCTCACACACCTGACTCAGGACATCATAGCCCAGGCTAGCCCAACTCACTATACCTCAGCAGCGTTATATCACACAAGGCCTCCTTTGTGCTAAGGTGTTGAACATCTGCTATAATTGATTGAGTATTGGTGACCGCCAGAATGACTGTCACCCAGTCACAAGGCTGCTGAAAGATTCTTAGCCCAGACCTTTGTAAGCTACGGAATCTGTGACTATCCAAGCCTTCCTCCCAGGACCTGGCAGGTGACCTGCCTTGGGAAAACACCCTCCGAAATGTGAGTAATCCCAGAGCATCTTGGATCATCCAGGTGTCCCTCTGTCCAGAGATAGGTGTCCTCATGGGTGATGCTGACCCAGGCAGGTAGAGAGCGGTATAACGGGGTGGACAGAGATTGGAGGGAGAGAGTTACAGACAAGGACCTCACAGAGTCACCAGGAGATGAAGGAGGCTGGGAATAGCCTCTCCTCATAGATCTAGGGCAGAGTCTGGCCAACACTCTGGCTTTGGACTTGGCGCTTGAGAGAGAAGCCATTCCTGGCTCGAGGCCACCCACTTTGGGACAGTGTGCTCCAGTGAGCATGGCAGTAACCATGCAGCCTGTGCCTGATTCTGAGTTTCCGCACTCCTCTTAACCACAGCAGAGCTTGGGATGCCATTTAATTCCCCCCCCCCCACCCCCGTTTAGTTTTTCGAGACATGGTTTCTCTGTGTAGCCCTGGCTATCCTGGAACTTACTTTGTAGACCAGGCTGGCCTTGAACTCAGAAATCCGCCTGCCTTTGCCTCCCAAGTGCTGGGATTAAAGGCGTGCACCACCACTGCCCAGCTGCCATTTAATTTCTTATAATGAGCCTCCTCTGGGCTTTGAATCTGGTCTGACCCTCAGTTTCTCCTTCTGCTACAGTGATGGTGATGGTGGTGGTGATTGTGAGGTTAATGGTGGTAGCACTTAACTCACAGGGTTGTATGTTGCTCAAGTCAGCAAGTATTTCTCATGTTCCTGTGTGGTATACAACCCTGCTGCAGATCCTGGGGCAGAGCTGAGATTAAGACAGCACAGCACCGTCAGGGAGCCAACCTCTATGTAGACACATGTGCATTACTGTGAGATTCACATTGGGGGCAGCAGGTGCTCAGGTGGCAGGGCTGTGGCTCCTGGACCAGGGGCAGTATGGACATTCAGGGAAGCCTTTGTTCTGCACCTGTCAGTGAGGTCCACTGACAACCCACCAGCTCTCTGTGCCTAAATAACTCCCTAGCCTCCACCATGCACCTGACCTCTGACCATGCCACACTGGAATTGCCTCGTTATTTCCAGGTGGAAGTCATGTGTCCTATCTTGTATTGCTTCTCATCTGACTTCTAGGCTACAGCTGAGGTCTCCTCTTTCGCTCTCTGCCTCCATCCCAGCCCACCCAGCAGTAGCTGGCTGGCTTCTGACTCCCCCTGACCCGGCATACCCACACTGAGCCCTCCACATTGTCTCCTTCTGGATCCATCTGTACTAACATGTGGATGACTAAGGACTATCAAGCCCCTCACTGAGTATGCAGAGATTGGTGTGATGAGCCCTAGTATGGAACAGGTGTGTGGCAGGGACCTGGGCCACAGCAGGGTCCTGCCCTATGGCCTGTGCTTCTTACTATTGTTGACGTTGTTGTCATTATTATTATTATTATTAATGTGTGTGATGTGTGTGTGTTTGTGTGTGTGTGTGTGAGGACACATGTGTGCCACAGCATGTGTTTAGAGACCAGAGGAAAACACTGTGGAGCGAGTCCTTTCTGCCCACCTTCGTGTCAGCTCTGGGACTCTCTGGCTGTCAGGCTTATGCAGCAGGAATCTTTACCGCTGAGCAACCTTGCCTGCATCTGGCCTGTGCTCTTTCTGAGCCTCCTCATGGCACACCCTCTGTCTCACAGGGCCAGACTGCAGCCACCTTACTGTACGCCAGACCCGGCCACGATGGCTTATAGGTTTGTGGGACGAGTCCTTTCATGCTCTGGGGAAAAGGTTGGTCTGAGGCCTGCCCGTAGGCTGGCTCAGGGGGCTTTAGACTCATCTCACTCACCACTGCAGGCTGCATGTCTGAGTGTAGTGAGGTCCAAGCATGAGGGGCTAGGCCTCTATAGGCTCACAGGATATCACAGGATAGTTAAGGTGGGTAGAGTCAGGGGTGGGGTGCACCTTTCAAAAAAAAAAACAAAACAAAACAACAACAATAACAACAACACCACAGTCCTTTAGTCTTTTCCTGGGAAGGGAGAAGCCCGAGGCATGCTGAGTTGAGGACTTAGGATTTAGCTATTATATTTTCTGGGGACTGAACTCATGGCATCAGGCTTAGTGGTAAGAGCCCTTACCTGTAGGGTAATAATGAGGCCATCCTCAAGACCCAGAGTGAGAGGGAGCATAGTTTACTTGATACCCAGAGGTCTTGCAGTGGCCTCTCTGGGAGGCAAGGGAAACCCCTGGCAGCCCAACTCTCATCTGTATAGCAAGAACAAGGAGGCATGATTGGCTGGGCCATTTACTTTATGGAGGATGAGGGCTTCTCTGTGGCCCTGTGAGCCCTGTCATTAACTGTCCCCGTTGTCCTGTGCTGGGCTTCACATTTGGGATGTCCACACAGAGAGCAAATCCAGCCTAGCATGGTCCTGGGAACTTCAGAGGCAGTGTGACTTCCTCTCTGCCCTGTATCCCAGCATCCCTGGGCTTTATTCTAACCTCAAATCTCCCATTTTCTGGACTCCCTGGAGGGAGGTGTGCTCCTTCTTCTAGGAGTAAGTGTTATTGATGGTGGGGGAACCTCTGAGGATGGGGCTCCAGTGGCCATGCTGCGATTTGCCAGGCCTTGGGCTATGAGTCCTTATTTTGAGCCTCCATTTTCCCATCTAGACACCGAGGTCTTCACTAAGATGGGGTCCCCAGAGGATCCTGGGGTTCCTGAGCAATTGTGTTGGGGGTCTGTTTTCACATGTGTGTGTGAAGACATTGGGCACACATGGTTCCTGTGACCTGGCATTTATGGGGTGAATGGTGGACACTGTGGGAATCAGTTCTGAGCTGGGGGGGAGGTCGGGTCACAGCTCTGAGATTCTGTCATGCTGGCCAGACCCTAAGATCTTGAGTCCTGTGCCACAGACAGGAACAGCACACTCCACAGCTGTGGGCTAGCAGGTTTGGTGACAAGTGAAGGACTCAGGAGGAAGGCCATCAAAGATGGACAAAACTAAGACAAAGGGCACATTGGCCCATTGATGTGGGTTCCTGTGGAGAGATCTTCCCAGCTTCCAAGTAAAGCAGAGGGCTGGAATTCAATACAAGGTCTCCCTTTCGGAGATGGCTTGGGGCAAAATTCAATATACCTATGGGCTGAGCTCAGCCCCAGTTGTCAGCATGCACCATCTAAGGCCATGTGACATTAGCAACTAGGGGCTACAAACTACCACACTACCATGGCCACCACTGACTACTATGAGCAACCATACCCTTACCACTGCCACTGACTGCCATGTCCCCACTGTCCCCACTCCTACTGCTGTCCTGGGTCTGGATGTTGGGCATTTTTTTTCTTGCCATGCTAGAGATGGAACCTAGAGTCTTTTGTATGTGTTTAGAAAATTCTTTATCTTGGAGAGACACCCCAGCCTAGGCCCTTCTGTCTATGTGCACCTTCTGTCTGTGTGTACCTTCTGTCTGTGTGTACTTTCTGTCTGTGTGTACCTTCTGTCTGCGTGCACCTTCTGTCTGTGTGCACCTTCTGTCTGTGTGCACCTGTCTTAGCTGTCAGAACCCCAGCAGAGTACCGGCACTCTTCTATCTGGGTCAGGAACTTGACATGGACTTCTCTCTCTTTGTTGTTTGACTCTGAGTAGATTTTACACTCTTTCTGGAGTGCCTTGGACAATGGTGCTGGAGGATCCCCGGGAACCAAGACTCTGTCAGAGCTTTGTACATAGTCAAGTTCCTGAGTCATGTCGTATAGACCTGCACACTGAGGCCTGGGGTCCTGCTATAGGGAAGGTCAGTGATAGAAGCCCAGCAGCCACCCAGCCTTTCCCAGCCTGATGTGGCTGGATACAGACTGAGCAAGCTTCTAGAAGCCTACAGTGCCTGCACCTGATGTTGGGTCCACAGCCATGCAGGTAGCTTCAGTGTCCTGCTACTTACATGTAATAAAACAACAGCAGTTCAAACTAGACAGCATCCAAGAGGCTTCAGATGACACCTTGGGACCCAGCATGGGCAAGGGACTGTAGGTGCCTGCACATGTGTCCAAGGCTGTAGCTGGGTCAGGATCCCTGTGTACCTTGATGGTGGTTCATTGATGATATTAGCTGTCAGCTAGGATGGCATAAAGGATGGGTATTAACAACCCTGGGTTGTGGCTGTGTATGGGATGCTATCCCTTGCCAGAGGCTGGACCAATGGGCAGCTCCCAGGAGCCAGCTACTAGGGACTTGTAGCAATTAGTAGAAATGAGGAAATAGGATAAGACACTTGGACTGCTCCTGGCTCTGTGCCCTCGGGTAGGTGACCTCCCCTCTTTGGACCTTATTTTCCTATGCCAGACATCTGAATGATGATAAGGCCTTCCTTCCCTGTGCTCAGAGTAGCACAGGACCCAGTGGCTGTCAGCTGCTAGTGCTATTGTTATGAGCCACCTACATAAAAAGCACCTACAGGTGCGGGGTCCCAACCTGGCCTCACACTGTAGCCATGGTGACACTTAAAGTGTATTCATGCCTGGGTC